TTAGGATAAATTAAACATTTTTATATAAAAGTATCTGAATTCAAGCGTGTTTCACTTTAAACTTCATATACCAGAAAGATGGTTTGGTTAACTTAGTCAAAGTTAACTTACCAAAAAACCATAAAGTGAATGAGGCCGTTTTATGGGGCCATACCAAAAGGGGATTCTCTCTGTTGATAGTTTTATACTTCAAGGATTGTCATCTATCAAACTTTCTAAGATAGCAAATTTGAAACAATTATGTGCGTAAATGTGACTAGGATTATCAACATACCCAATATCGGTAGGTATCGTTATATGTGTTAGACAAATCCGAGGAGAAATGTGGCAAAAATCATCAAAATACCGAATTTCGAGAGATACCTTTATATGGGGACTATACCGATGATGGACCGATAGATCATTTTCAATACCAACCATTCTATACACAATACAAATTGTTCTGCTAAATTTTGATGCTCTACGTCAAATAATGTAGGCTGTATCATAATTTAAACAAACAGACATACAGACGGACAAATCGACTTAGAATTTTGTGCTGATTATGAATATACATATGTATATTCTATGGGGTCTATGGCGAACATTTATGGATGTTACAAATGGAATGAAGAAGTTTATATACCCTCCTTTCCAAGGTGGACAATATAATAAGCATTAAAGACTAAAATTACGGGCCGGCAACGCGGACCGGGCCAGCTAGTCTATATATAAAAATCAATTGTTGTTCTTTGGTAATGGAATCAGTTGAAAACGGCTGGACCGATTTGCATAATTTTTGTAGAAACGTTCATCATACCCCGAGTTAGGTTTTTAAAGTATATTAAATTGACCGCGCCTACTTTTACACCCACAATCTTGATTTATCTAAAATCTTTATATTCGCCAGGTAATTAAGATATCGATTTCCTTCAACTTTGGTGTGACCGCGTTAAATTATTTCGACATCATATATATTTCGACATCATATATGTTTCGCCACCACATAATCCGGTACTACGCTTCAATGTCAAAATACATGTCAAAATATTGTTTTTTTTTTGTTTTTTGTATATGAATGATACCCAATAAATACATACAATCCATAAATAACAGTTTTGTCCGTTGTCGCTTTATACTCCCCAAAAATAATTAAAAAAACACTACAAATGTACATTCGAAAATAGTAGGTCAAAATGGAATGGATTGCAAAATCATGCAATATAAACCATTACGATTGTACATTTCAAAAGTCAAAATTAAAATTTTCAAATTTCATAGTTTTACGCGATTTTTTGGATTGTATTCTTTTCCGCCAATCGGTTATTAACTATTATTGTTATGTTAATTGCTACGCTTATAACTCAAGAACCGCTGATCTGTATTTAACGATTCACATAAAGTCGGAATTGTCTCTTGGAAGAAATAGATAAAAACCAAAAAAATCGCGTAAAAATGTGAAATTTGACAACTTTCATTTTGACTTTTGTGGTGTACAATAGTAATGTTTTATTTTGCATGATTTTTTTCCATTTTGACTTGCTATTTTGGAATGTACATTTGTAGTGTTTTTTTTTTTTTTTTTTTTTGTGAATTGAATTCTAATATTATGTGTAGTCTTTCTGGGTAGTATAAAGCGACGACAATAGTAGCGGACCTAAATATATGATGTCTAAATAATTTAACGTGGTCAAACCAAAGTAAAAGGATAATTACTTTTTTCAAAATTTCTAAAAAATCAAAAAAAAAAGATTTTTTTCAATTTGTTTATTAGTTACTATGCTTATAAATCAAGAACGTTTTGACGGATCTTCACAATTCATACAACTTCGGAATGAAATCTTGGGAAAACATGTCAATAAAAATATAAAAGAAATAATCCTTTTGGTGGGAATTTTTTTCAATTTAAAAACTATATAGAAGTGTACATTTTTTATTGTTTTGAATTCTGAATGAATAATATCAAAAATGAAATAGTACCCAATACGATGTTAAATAGCGATCTTTCATGTCTGAAATTGGAATTTAGCTTTCTACTCCAGGATCAAGATCGTGCTTCAGCTCGAAGATGCGAACACATTTAAACAAAAAAAAAAAAAACGGCAGAGCGTTATGGGGCTCATTTCAAAACGGGAACTTACCTACTTCTTTCACATAACAATAATCCGTCCAATGAGAACTTAATATGCAAAATTCATTGGGACTGAAATCAGTGAAATATCGAATATAAAGGGCGCAAAAAGAAGAGGGAAAAGGATTTCTATTTTTTCAGACATTCTTCCTAAACTTTCACGATACCTTAAATCGCATTTGCAGTTCATGTTATTGGTCATAACCCCCGGATAAGGATACAATCCGATTTCAAGTATATCATACATTTTAACAATATTTTCATACTAATTTCGGAAAATATTGGTAATTTGGGAAAAAACTATCCTTGCAAAAAATGATCAGGTTTTGTATAACCATCATATGATTTAAGGAACCGGACATTTGTTTAATCGTCTTTGAATTATACTATGATAAAAGATATGGACATTATGGGGTCTCCAACGCGCAATTTCAATGACAAATACTACTTATTATTTTAAAAACAAGTAAAAAAATTAAGTTCGACCGGGCAGAACTATTATTGTCATCCACCTTAGGATAAATTAAACATTTTTATATAAAAGTATCTGAATTCAAGCGTGTTTCACTTTAAACTTCATATACCAGAAAGATGGTTTGGTTAACTTAGTCAAAGTTAACTTATCAAAAAACCATAAAGTGAATGAGGCCGTTTTATGGGGCCATACCAAAAGGGGAACCTCTGTTGACAGTTTTATACTTCAAGGATTGTCATCTATCAAACCTTCTAAGATACGGTAGGTATCGTTATATGTGTTAGACAAGGAGAAATGTGGCAAAAATCATCAAAATACCGAATTTCGAGAGATACCGTTATATGGCGACTATACCAAAACATGGACCGATAGAACATTTTAAATACCAACCATCCTATACATAATACAAATTGTTCTGCTAAATTTTGATGCTCTACGTCAAATAATGTAGGCTGTATCGTAATTATAACAAACAGACATACAGACGGACAAATCGACTTAGAATTTTGTGCTGATTATGAATATACATATGTATATTCTGTGGGGTCTATGACGAACATTTATGGATGTTACAAATGGAATGAAAAAGTTTATATACCCTCCTTTCCAAGGTGGAGGATATAATAAGCATTAAAGCAATAATTTATCGTTTAAAAGAAGTAGAAACGAAGCTATAAAGCGAAGCATTTTAGCGAATTTTATATCGATGTGAATTACTTTAGTCTGGAAAAAGAACAAATATCAATAATGGACAAGTAAAAAATCTGTAAGTTCGGCCGGGCCGAACTTTGAATACCCTCCACCATTTGTAACGAGCTTAGCAATTCTCAAAAACAATAAAATCCGTTAAAAATTCTGTTAAAATCTTAAAAATACAAAATGTAACTGTTATATTAGGGTCTATATGACGACATGGACTGCATAGGTAACTTTTGTCATAAGCCATTACTATATTCAAATGCGAAACTTAAAAAAAGATAAGTGAATAATCGTGAATAATCGAACTTCAAATACCAAATTTGAAACAATTCCGGTGAATAATGTCGGTAAAATCATCAAAATATCGAATATAGGGAGGTACCGTTATATGGGGGCTATACGAAGACGTGGACCTGCACAGACAATTTTCTGTCTTAGGCTGTACTGTCCATTTCGAACTTCAAATGCCAAATTTGAAACAATTCCGGTGAATAATGTCGATAAAATCATCAAAATACCGAATATCGGGAGGTACCTTTATATGGGGACTCTACGAAGACGTGGACCTGCCAAGACAATTTTCTGTCTTAGGCTGTAGTGTCCATTTCGAACTTCAAATACCAAATTTGATACAATTCCGGTGAATAATGTCGATAAAATCATCAAAATACCGAATATCAGGAGTTACCGTTATATGGGGGCTATACCAAAACCTATATTTTCAATACCAAAAGTCCTGCACACATAATATACATTTGGGTAATATTATATTCAATCTACTTTATTTCGGTTGGAAGCTAGAGTAATTTCCATAGACGGACGGACATCGCTAAATCGACATAGAATTGTATGCTGATCAAGAATATGAGGTCTGAAATGTATATTTCGAGGTGTTACAAATGGACTGTCAAACTTAATATACCCTCTAGACTATGGTGGAGGGTATAAAAGGTGGTTAAACAAATAACACAATTTTTGTTGTTTAAAAATGTTTTACTCCTTCGTGATTTTTATATATGAGCTTCTTTTTATACCCTTCACCATACTATGGAGGGTATATTAACTTTGTCATTCCGTTTGTAACTCCTCGAAATAATCATGTCAGACCCAACAAAGTATATATATTCTTGATCAGCGTAAAATTCTAATTCGATTTAGCGATGTCCGTCTGTCTGTCTGTCCGTCTGTCTCTCTGTAGTAATCACGCTATCTTTCGAACGAATTGAGATAGAAGGCTAAAATTTTGCACACATGTTTAGTTTTCCAGTGGTTACCAGGTTAAGTTCGTAAATGGGCCATGTAGGTCCACGTTTTCATATAGCCCCCATATAACGGTACCTCCCGATATTCGGTATTTTGATGATTTTAGTGATACTATTCAACGAAACTGTTTCAAATTTGTATTTGAAGTTCGAAACGGATACTAGAGTCTAAGACAGAAAATTGTCTGTGCAGGTCCACGTCATTGTCTAGCCCCCATATAACGGTACCGCCCGATATTCGGTACTTTGATGATTTTAGCTTGATAATTCACCTATCTTTTTTATACCCTCCACCATACTATGGAGGGTATATTAACTTTGTCATTCCGTTTGTAACTCGTCGAAATACTCATGTCAGACCGAACAAAGTATATATATTCTTGATGTCCTTTTTTGTTATTTTCCAGGAATAAACCTAAACTCGGCTGGCTCCCAAATGACAAGACTGGCAGGATTTCGGCAAAATAAAAAGCTGCGTTTATTTGGTTTGTTTGTTTACAAATAGTGAGTTTAGTTGTCGTTGTTTATTCTCTGTAAGAATTTTAAAAATTTAACAAAAATTAAGTTTACAAAAAAAAAATAAAAATATTTAATTTAAAAACAATAAAAATTAACACGACTTACTTATTTTTGGGTTCTAACAAAAAAGGGAATAAACAATGGCCATAAAGGCCTATTTATATAAAAAGTGACATTAAGCAAAACAACAAAAATAAACAAAATGAAGATGTTGGCTTAAATTTAGTTTCGTCTCCCTCTTCGCTTGGGATATTTCGGCCATTTATAACAGTGGTATTTCAAATTTGGCTACACTTTTTTAGCTTTGGTAATTGCAGGGTTACCATCTCCAACATCCCCACCCCCGTGAACTGACCCAGAGGGGGAGGCTTCACCAACTCCGTCTCCAGCCGCTTCCACGTCCAAAATGGCAAGTTTGGACACAGGTCTGTGGTATACACCGGCACTCGTTCTCACCTTGGCTGATCGTGCCACTCCGTCTTTGCCCCTGAATACTTCGATGACTCGTCCACGTCTCCATTGACTCCGAGCCATCTCTGGATCACAAACAAACACAAGGCAACCAACATCCAACGACCGAGAAGGAAGACACCATTTTGTTCTTCGAGTTAATTCTGGAAGATATTCCCGAAGCCACTGATGCCACATGCCATTCTTCAAATTTTGGGTGACGCGCCACTGCTTCCTTAAACACATCAGTCTAGGCTCAAACGGTGCTGGAGTCTGGGTTGAATTGGTACATCCAAGCAGAAAGTGGTTTGGAGTCAATGGATCTGGGTCCTCTGGAGTAACTGGCAAATGTGTAAGTGGCCTGCTGTTGACCATATTCTCCGCTTCAATCAGGAACGCTTGTAGAGTCTCCAGTTTTGGGGCTTGCTCCTTTAGCATGATGTAAAGAGCCTTCTTAACAGATTGGACAAGACGCTCCCATACTCCGCCTTCGCTGGGATTCACTGGCGTATTGTAGACCCATTTTATTCCAAGAGCTGTCAGACCAGAAGAAACAGAATTAGTGTCTAAAAAATTGGTTATACCTTGCAGCTCCTTTGCTATGCCAACGAAATTCGTCCCATTGTCGCTTCTTATCATCTCTGGGACGCCTCTTCGATTGATGATGTTCCGAATACACATTAGGCAGGAATCACTCGACAGGTCTGTTGCAATTTCCAAGTGGACAGCGCGAACTGTAATGCATGTAAACAGTGCCACCCACCTCTTTTCTCGTTGTCTCCGGATTGACACTGTTACAGGACCAAAATAGTCAAGTCCTGTGTAGGTAAAGGCTCTGACATAAGGTGTGACACGTTCCAAGGGTAACGGGGCCATTTGTGGTTGAATTGGTTTGGCCTTACGAATCTTGCAGACAAGACATCGGGACTGAACGCTTCTTAGAAGTTGACGAAGTGACGGAATCCAAAATCGCAGACGAATTTCGCTCATTGTAGTGGCAACATTTATGTGACAAAAACGAGAATGGTAAAATTCCACCAGCAAAAGTGTAAAACGATGACCTTTGTGTAGAATTATTGGTCGTCTGGTATCCAGGGACAAAAAAACAGCATTTTCTATTCTTCCAGATACCCGAAGCAAACCATCACTTCCAATTTGTGGATTTAAAGACTTTAGGGAGCTGTTGGCAGACACTGATCCAGTTCTCTGTATGTCAAGAATTTCATCCCCATATACTTCTTGCTGTACGCAGCGACAGAGATACATTTCTGCCCGTGCTTCTTCTTCCACCGTCAAATCACCCGACACCACTGATTTCCTCTTCATATTTTCAACGAATCGGAATGTCCACGCCATTGCCCGTTTCAGCCTACGATATTTTGAAAATCTATTAATATCTGGAATACAAAAACATACCTGGCAAGCCACCAAAACTTTGTATTTGTTTCTTAGCTCTGTTTTGCTGTGATCCACACATGTTCCAATTTGTTCCTCGTCCGGCCAATACTTCTCTTCTTTTCTCAGGAATTCTGGCCCATTTTTCCAACGTCCTTCTGGCTGGTACTTCTTGGGTCCTTTAGCACGGGTCCCTTCGTCAGCTGGGTTTTCCGCTCCTGGACACCACCGCCACTGCTCCATACGGCTGCTTTCCAGAATCTCCGACACTCTATTTGCCACATATTGTTTGTATGTACGGTGTTCTGAACGGATCCAACTTATCACTGTTGAGGAATCTGACCAAAAATAAATGTTATTAATATTCTTCAAATGATTTTCCAAAATTTTTTCCTTCATTCGCACTCCAATTACTGCTGCTTGCAACTCAAGCTTAGGTATAGTATGGTATCTTGTTGGGGCACAGCTCGTCTTGCCCATAACGAACACAACACTTACACCACAATTTGTTACTATACGCCAGTATGCCACAGCAGCCATTGCATCTTCACTGGCATCCACAAACACATGCAAATCTACTATACCATTAAAAAATCCATTACTGTAACACCTCGGAACTTTGAAATCCTTTAATTTAGGCAATTCCTCCAGCCAGGTCTTCCAGCGGCTATAAATCGCGGACGGCAACTCCTCGTCCCACTTTATACCACTTTTCCACACATTTTGCATAATTATCTTCGACGTCACCATAAAATCACCAAGAAACCCGAATGGATCGAATACGGACATATTTAAAGACAACATTTCGCGTTTCGTTGGCACTTTTTGCAATTTCAATATCTTTTCATCCACTTTGTGTAATTTTAATTCAAAACAAAAAACATCTGATTTTGGCAGCCAATGAATACCGAGTACCCGTTCCATTCCATCATCAAAAATTGAGTTGCCATCACTTTCATCAGAAATAGGTTTGCCAAACATACGTTGTAAAACAAGGGAATTAGACTTGATGTTGCGGAGATTAAATCCACCCTCTTTGTGAATTTTTATGACATAACGTACCACTTCAACTGCCTCACCTTCAGTCTGGAAACAGTCGACGTAATCGTCTACGTAATGACGATCGATGATTCCTTGTACTGCTCTTGGCGACTCATTTATAAACCTTCGGGCATTTAGGTTTTTTACATATTGGGCTATGGTGGGCGAACAAGTGGCTCCAAAAATCATCCGTTCCATTACATAAGTTTCTAAGGGTTGACTGGGATCCCCAATTCTCCATAGAAATCGCTGACTGTCCTGATCTTCTTTGGCGATTACAATTTGGTGGAACATCTCTTGTATATCTCCGCACACGGCTACAGGAAATTCCCTGAATTTAAAAAGAATAGAGATTAAAGAGTTATTTATGTCAGGTCCAGGTAATAAGGCTTTATTTAATGAAAATTGTTGAACTTCAGCAGCAGCATCGAAGACGATACGAATTCCATCTTTGTTGGGATTTTTAACGCCAAAATGTGGCAAATAAAACGTTCGGTCGCTCCTTCTTTCTCGTTCTGCTACTGAAAGTTTACGGCAATATCCTTTTTCCTCGTAGTCTCTTATCTTTTTGCAATATTGAGCTGCATATACACTGTCCTTTGCCATTTTTCGTTCCACACACTGCAATCGGTTGTACGACAAATTGTACGATTCTGGAATTGGAGAAAAATGTTCTTTCCACAAAAGCGGACACTGATATCGCCCATCGATTCTTTTCGCGTTTTCTCTCAATATTTTTAACGCTCGTTCATCATCTATGGACAGAATTGGTGTCACATTTACCTTGGTACCCAATGTCTCCACGTCGAAATATTGCCGCATCATGGTATGCATTTCCTTAAGCAAGTCACAATTTTCTTCCTCGAAACATTTCCTAACGTGTAAAGCCCGCTTAAGATTGGAACTCTTCTCGCCTGGGATCGGTCCATAAATTACGGCGCCTAATCTCGTTAGGGTAATGATTGGTCCAACATCGGTCATCATACGAGGAGCTTCCAAGGGAACTGTTAAAAATGAATGTTGCAAGCTTAATATTAGTTTAGGTTGAATATTCGAATAATCCCGGAATGGGATTTCGGCGATTTGGTCGATTTCACGGGATTTAATTAAATGAGCCAGATGGCAACTCTGTATTGGCAATGACAGATTGGACGAAATGTAAACATTGGTTATCGGGTACTTGTTGTTGTACTCACCGACACCACTAATTGTCAAATTAATTTTTTCTGTTTTTTCGTTTATCTGTTGGTTATTAAGCCACTGAATTTTTAAAATCTCCGGTTTCCCGTGTACTCCGAGTTCGCGAGCAACGTCCTCGTCCAGCATGGACACATTGGCGCCGTCGTCAATGAACGCGTACGTCGTTATTTGTTTGTGTGTTCCGTATAGCGTCACGGGCAAAATCTGGAACAGTACGTTTTCGGTGTAGTGGGCGGCATGACAATTTATTCGTTGTGTTTGAGACGGCGGTGCGTCGGGAAGAGATGGGGTGTTCGTTCGTGGCTCCAAATCGTGTGTGGGTAATGTTCGGTTCGGTTCCTGGGATGGCGTCGCGAGTGTTTTGTGCAACAATTGGTGGTGTGATTTTTGGCAATCATTTATGCCACAACGACGCTTATAGTGGCAATTTTTAAGTTGGTGGCCTCTCTTTAAGCAACAAAAACAAGTTTTAATTTGTTTAATTTTATTCCATCGGTCATCGATGGTCATTTTTAAAAAGTGTGGACAGATTTTTATATTGTTGCACTCTCCCTGACAAATTGGACAGCTCGAACTGACAGCGACATATGCGTATTTTTTTTGTTGTGTTTGTGTGTGTCGGCGATTGGACGAGGTTGCTGAAATTGGCTGTGTGTCGTGGACCATATGTGCGAGACGGCGTAATATTCCCAACCAATCGCTGAAATCAACTATAGTGGCGGGGTGCTGGAGTTGCAGACATTTTTCGGCCCATTGCATTTGGCGGTTTATCGGCAGTTTGGACACTAGCTCACTCAGCAACGATGGATTGGATAGATGGTGTTCACCCTTGGCGTTTTTTAGGAAAGTGGCCATATTGGAGAGTTTGTTGGCAAAGTTGACAAGTGCATCCAAATTATCATCTGCCAGCGGTGGAATGGCTCGGACTTTTTCTACTTGGCTTCGGATAAGTTGCTCTGGTCGACCAAATGTTTCCTGCAGAATTTCCAAAATGGCGCTGACGTTGGCAGAACTCCCCAACATGGATTCCACTGTTTCCCTTGCTCGGCCCTTCAATGCGTCTCTCAAACGCATGATGTTATGGAGATTGGAGTAACCAAATTCGGTTGTGGTGCTCTCGTAGGCTTCGAAAAATGCCTGCCACTCCTCTGGAAGACCTGAAAAAATAGGCAAGGGATAAATTTTTTTATGTGCATTTCCGTTGGAGTTATTTGAAAGTGAATTTGGAAAAGACTCATCTGTGTTGATAGACAATGGCGGCAGTTGATGCACTTGAGTCTGCAACTGTTGACTTGTTGTTGGCGGTACTGTTTGTGGTGGCAAAACTACTGAATGTAATGGCAGATTCAATGGCGGCTGTGGCGGCAGACTCAATGGCGGCTGTGGTGGCAGATTCAATGGCGGCTGTGGTGGCAGATTCCTTTGTGGCTGTTGCGGCGTATTCAATGGCGGTTGTTGTGTCGTTTGATTTGAGAAAATTGGTGGTTGTGACGTCAGTGTAGGCAATGCTTGCTGCGACATTGTGTTTTGCAAAGAAGCAAACTGCTGTGACGTATTTAATAGTTGTGCTTGCATTTTTGCTTGTGCTGCTAAAAATTCGTCTTGCATTGCTTTCATCTGACGTTGCATCTGTTCCATTTCAAATTTCATAAGTTTTCTCATCTCGGCTAATTCATTTGCAGGATTTGGTGTTTTGGCTGGTGTATTTGAAGGCGGTTTTTGGAGCTGTAACTGAGAAGAAGAAGAAGAAGATTTAGAAGTATTGGCGGGCGGTGTATTGACGGCTGCGGCTGCAGCTGGCATTTGTTGCTGTTTTTGGTGGCTGCTGGTAGGCGTATCTCCTGTTGGTGAGCGAACGACAGACATATCGTAAGTGTCAGGGTTATATCGGGCTGGCGGAATTCCTTGAGTGCTGCGTCCACTGGTTCTTCTGGTTAGATCTTGGTTTTGTGGCATAAAACCGGCAGAATTTCTTGAATACAGGTAAGAATTATTTTTTTTTTGTGACTTAAAGTGGTGACAGCTGTTTTTAAAAAATGTCCGTCCGTTTTAATGAACAGCAACAATAAACACGAATTCAACAAGACAATTGACGACAGAAATTAAATTGACATAAAACAAATAAACAAAAAATAAAGAATAAAGTTGTCCTTTTTTGTTATTTTCCAGGAATAAACCTAAACTCGGCTGGCTCCCAAATGACAAGACTGGCAGGATTTCGGCAAAATAAAAAGCTGCGTTTATTTGGTTTGTTTGTTTACAAATAGTGAGTTTAGTTGTCGTTGTTTATTCTCTGTAAGAATTTTAAAAATTTAACAAAAATTAAGTTTACAAAAAAAAAATAAAAATATTTAATTTAAAAACAATAAAAATTAACACGACTTACTTATTTTTGGGTTCTAACAAAAAAGGGAATAAACAATGGCCATAAAGGCCTATTTATATAAAAAGTGACATTAAGCAAAACAACAAAAATAAACAAAATGAAGATGTTGGCTTAAATTTAGTTTCGTCTCCCTCTTCGCTTGGGATATTTCGGCCATTTATAACAGTGGTATTTCAAATTTGGCTACACTTTTTTAGCTTTGGTAATTGCAGGGTTACCATCTCCAACACTTGATCAGCGTAAAATTTTAAGTCGATTTAGCCATGTCCGTCTGTCTGTCTATCCGTCTGTCTCTCTGTAGTAATCACGCTATCTTTCGAACGAATTGAGATAGAAGGCTAAAATTTTGCACACATGTTTAGTTTTCCAGTGGTTACCAAGTTAAGTTCGTAAATGGGCCATGTAGGTCCACGTTTTCATATAGCCCCCATATAACGGTACCTCCCGATATTCGGTATTTTGATGATTTTAGTGATACTATTCAACGAAACTGTTTCAAATTTGTATTTGAAGTTCGAAACGGATTCTAGAGTCTAAGACAGAAAATTGTCTGTGCAGGTCCACGTCTTCGTATAGCCGCCATATAACGGTACCTCCCTATATTTGATATTTTGATGATTTTTCCGACATTATTCACCGGAATTTTTCAAATTTGGTATTTGAAGTTCGTAATGGATACTACAGCCTATGACAGAAAATTGTCTGTGCAGGTCCACGTCTCCATATAGCCACAATATAACGGTACCTCCCAATATTCGGTATTTTGATGATTTTAGCGTCATTATTCACCAGAATTGTTTCAAATTACGTATTTAGAGTTCATAATGGGAACTTCAGTCTGTGACAGAAAATTGTCTATACAGGCCCAGGTCTTCGTATAGGCCCCATATATCAGTAGCTCCCTATATTCGATTTTAGGTACAATACTCACCGAAATTGTTTGAGATGTCGAATTTGAAGTGCGTAATGTATGCTACAGCCTGTGACAGAAAATTGTCTATGTTGGTTCAGGTCTTCTCACAGCTCCGATATAACGGTACCTCCCTATATACGATATTTTGATGATTTTTGCTACATTATTGACCGTTTAATTCAAGTTTCGAATTTGAATATTGTAATGGCTTATGACAAACAATGCATATGTAGGTCCACGTAGTATACACTCCAATATAACTACTATCATCGGTATTTTTAAAATTGTAACAGAATTTTTTAAGGATTTTATTTTTTTTTTAATTTTCTAAATTCGTTCCAAATGGTGGAGGGTATTCAAAGTTCCGCCCGGCCGAACTTACTGTTGTTTAACTTGTTTTTAACTAACTTGATTTTTTAATATTATATATGCCTATAATATTAATATATGCCAATAAAAATGTCCTTGTTTGTCCATTTTTTTCTTTTGGTGCCCCACATTTTGTCAAAACATATATACATTTTATATATATGAGTGTATTGTTCTGGATAAAAAAAGACAATAATTTGAAATTTTTTTCAAATTTAGATGCAACAGAAATGCATATATTCCAAATTAACGGGCAAGAAAATGTATAAATTGGGGATAAAATAATATTGTCTCCCTGTGGCCGGTTATTATGTCTTACCGATACATAACAAAATGATATTGTTGGACGCATAATTAGTTTTTCGTTATTACAAGTTTCATTCAAGTATCAGCTGTCCGATAAGCAAAAGGTCAAACCATCTTCTCTTTATCTTTTAAAGTTTACTGAATTCGTGTGCCCTAAATTTCCTTCCATGTTTTGTGGGATTTCCTCAATATAGTAATTTTGTGAAAAAAATTTAAAATAAAGTAAAAAATCTCTGTAAAAAAATTCATTTATTTTATCGAATAGATGTAATAAAAACCCGATAATGTGAACTTTACCTTTACTTTTACTAAAGTAGGGTATAACAAAAATAGACTATAAAGAAAAGTTGTAAGAACGGGCCTATCTTGAATTTAATTTTAGGAAGAAATCCAGGGTAGGAAAATACAGATAACAGCAAGTGTTGTTGTACAACAGTCGTAACAACAACCACATACAAATTTGTTTTTGTACGTAATACAAGTGTCAGAGTTATATGTCCAAAAATGTAAACAAAATAATTTATTGAAAAATTGTTAAGTTTCAATAAATTAATTTAATTTCAAAAATATACATTTTTGTAATTTGGATTATTAAATTTAAAATGAAGAAGAATAGTTCCTCAATTATTTAGTTTGAATGCTTTCATACCATTCCCCTGAATGTACAGTTTAGCTGTATGTCCTAATCTCTCAACACTTCTAGCAATCGCTAGAAAATCGAGGAAAAAGCAACATCCCTTTCAAATTGAAAGCAAACTGCAAACACACATAAAGTATTCCATATTGCAATTTCAGGAAACATAAAATATACGACTATGTTGCGTAATGGGGTGTTACTTCTTTTTAACCGCGAAAATCTTTTGGCACCATTGCAGTTGGCTATTTATTGAGTACAACGGCGATTTTTTCTATTATTATAAGCCAAAAAATGCTCACATTGCCCACCAGAGAAATTTTGCATTTAAAAATGGTATACCTATTGTATTTCAAGAAATGGAAGAAATCCAAAATTTCCATTCAAGTTTCGTGGGTTTTCCCCAATATAGTAATTTTGTGAAAAAAAAATGTAAAATAAACAAAACCAATTGACTCCGAAGCAGAGTTAAATTTTATTGGTTTCTTTGATGTTGAGAAACCTTTCTTTTCTTAATTTAGAAAAGATAATGATTTCTGCATAAGTACATGATAAATTCATTTTAGAACATTGAATTCCAATTTCATTTCATCTTTTTTAAACTCCTTATTTGGTTATCAAAAATAAATCAAGTTGGACTAATAAATGTACATATTATTTTTAAGAGGAGACTAAATTAGATAGCATTAATGAAGTCATTTAAAAAAAATGTGAATTAAATTTACGTAGGAATTAAATTTACTCATACAATTGAAAATCCTTGTATATTGCCTTTAATTAATCATTCTACAAATTATTTCTATGTCTACTTCATTTCTATGTCTACTTCATTTCGGTTGGAAGCTAGAGTGATTTCCATAGACGGACGGACATCGCTAAATCGACATAGAATTGTATGCTGATCAAGAATATGAGGTCTAAAAGGTATATTTCGAGGTGTTACAAATGGACTGTCAAACTTAATATACCCTCCAGACTATGGTGGAGGGTATAAAAAGGTGGTTAACAAATAACACAATTTTTGTTGTTTAAAAATGTTTTACTCCTTCGTGATTTTTATATATGAGCTTCTATTTATACCCTTCACCATACTATGGAGGGTATATTAACTTTATCATTCCGTTTGTAACTCCTCGAAATAATCATGTCAGACCCAACAAAGTATATATATTCTTAATCAGCGTAAAATTTTAATTCGATTTAGCGATGTCCGTCTGTCTGTCTCTCTGTAGTAATCGCGCTATCTTTCGAACGAATTGAGATAGAAGGCTAAAATTTTGCACACATGTTTAGTTTTCCAGTGGTTACCAGGTTAAGTTCGTAAATGGGCCATGTAGGTCCACGTTTTCATATAGCCCCCATATAACGGTACCTCCTGATATTCGGTATTTTGATAATTTTAGCGATACTATTCAACGAAACTATTTCAAATTTGTATTTGAAGTTCGAAACGGATACTAGAGTCTAAGACAGAAAATTGTCTTTGCAGGTCCACGTCTCCATATAGCCACCATATAACGGTACCTCTCAATATTCGGTATTTTGATGATTTTAGCGTCATTATTCACCAGAATTGTTTCAAATTACGTATTTAGAGTTCATAATGGGAACTTCAGTCTGTGACAGAAAATTGTCTATACAGGCCCAGGTCTTCGTATAGGCCCCATATATCAGTAGCTCCATATATTCGGTATTTTGACGATTTTAGGTACAATACTCACCGAAATTGTTTGAGATGTCGTATTTGAAGTGCGTAATGGATGCTACAGCCTGTGACAGAAAATTGTCTAGGTTGGTTCAGGTCTTCTCACAGCTCCGATATATCGGTACCTCCCTATATACGATATTTTGATGATTTTAGCTACATTATTGACCGTTTAATTCAAGTTTCGAATTTGAATATTGTAATGGCTTATGACAAACAATGCATATGTAGGTCCACATAGTATACACTCCAATATAACTACTATCTTCGGTATTTTTAAAATTGTAACAGAATTTTTTAAGGATTTTATTTTTTTAAAATTTTCTAAATTTAAAGTTTACTGAATTCGTGTTGCCCTAAATTTCCTTCCATGTTTTGTGGGATTTCCTCAATATAGTAATTTTGTGAAAAAAAATTAAAATAAAGTAAAAAATCTCTGTAAAAAATTCATTTATCTTGAATTAATTTTGAATTTAATTTTAGCAAGAAATCCAGGGTAGGAAAATACAGATAACAGCAAGTGTTGTTGTACAACAGTCGTAACAACAACCACATACAAATTTGTTTTTGTACGTAATACAAGTGTCAGAGTTATATGTCCAAAAATGTAAACAAAATAATTTATTGAAAAATTATTAAGTTTCAATAAATTATTTTAATTTCAAAAATATACATTTTTGGAATTTAAATTATTAAATTTAAAATGCAGAAGAATAGTTCCTCAATTATTTAGTTTGAATGCTTTCATATCATTCCCCTGAATGTACAGTTTAGCTGTATGTCCTAATCTCTCAACACTTCTAGCAATCGCTAGAAAATCGTGGAAAAACAACATCCCTTTCAAATTGAAAGCAAACTGCAAACACACATAAAGTATTCCACATTTTGCAATTTCAGGAAACATAAAATATACGACTATGTTGCTTAATGGGGTGTTACTTCTTTTTAACCGCGAAAATCTTTTGGCACCATTGCAGTTGGCTATTTATTGAGTACAACGGCGATTTTTTCTATTATTATAAGCCAAAAAATGCTCACATTGCCCTCCAGAGAAATTTTGCATTTAAAAATGGTATACCTATTGTATTTCAAGAAATGGAAGAAATCCAAAATTTCCATTCAAGTTTCGTGGGTTTTCCCCAATATAGTAATTTTGTGAAAAAAAATGTAAAATAAACAAAACCAATTGACTCCGAAGCAGAGTTCAATTTTATTGGTTTCTTTGATGTTGAGAAACCTTTCTTTTCTTAATTTAGAAAAGATAATGATTTCTGCATAAGTACATGATAAATTCATTTTAGAACATTGAATTCCAATTTCATTTCATCTTTTTTCAACTCCTTTTTTGGTTATCAAAAATAAATCAAGTTGGACTAATAAATGTACATATTATTTTTAAGAGATAAGATAGCATTAATGAAGTCATTTAAAAAAAATGTGAATTAAATTTACGTAGGAATTAAATTTACTCATACAATTGAAAATCCTTGTAAATTGCCTTTAATTAATCATTCTACAAATTATTTCTATGTAATGACTATAACCTGAAAAAGAAAGATGTTGCGATTTTTTTTTTTTTTTTGGAATAGAAAAACTGCCCTTACATGATGACATCAAACATTTCTCAATTAAACAATTTTGAATATTGAAATTTCAGTTAATTTTTTTTTCCAAGTCGAGTGAAATTTTTTAGCAACTGATATTGAAAAATTTTTGACTATATTTTCATTTGTCCATGCTTTCACTTGAGTTTTGGTCACTATTGTATACTATATTATACACACCCATAGTAAAATTAAGAAGGTAAAGTCATTACAAAAAAGACTATCCATCTCTGCATTTTCTGTAAATTACCTTGTCAAATTTTACTGAATAAAAATACAGGTTCCCATTTCAGGTTTCTCTGTATACATTGGATTTATAAATATAAATTTTGACAATAAGATGTTGTCAAATAAAAAAAATTGAAAAAATTTTATTTAAACACATAACGGTTGTCAGTTACATATCATAAATAAATATAAATTAAAAAACATACAATTTGAATTTAATAACATGAGAACGTGTTATCTTTGAAAAAGCGACGCTGCCGGCAAAAAGATCCATATATTTTTAATGGTTCCCAAATACGTGGAATAATGTAAAAGATGATCTCACTTTTATGGGAAGGAATTCCCTTGTGAAGGGGAGTCACAGGAAGAATAATCTGAAATTGAAAACGAATTTGCTGGAAAATATTGCGACATTACTTTGAAAATAGTAATAATATTGAAAAATGTGTGGGAAGAAGAAGAGAAGTACCGTCAGCACTGCATGTAAACAAGAAAAATTGTCGCATTTGGGGCACAGAAAACCTGCATACATTGAAAAGCCGATGCACCCAAAAGGAGTCTCTGTTTGGGGCGGATTTTTGTCCAGAGGTATAATTGGACCATCTTTCTTCGGAAATGAGCAAGAAGTAGCCGTTACATTATCAGATCGTGTTGAACGATTACGCCGATAAGCCAGAGACAACTGAAACTTAATGATAATATTCGTAAAGCCATTGGTGAAATATACCTGGATACAATCGATAAAGTGTTTAAAAATTGGGCCGATCGTGAATGCTACTGCATGGTCAACTTAGGCAGCCATTTGAATGAAATTATTTTACATTATTAACATAAAATATTGTGTTTTCAAATAAACATTTTATTTTGAAGACCCTGCAGTCAATCTGAAATTCGGTCCCTTGCTTGGAAGGTAGCTGAAAGTGTTGGCAGATAAATTTCATATGATGCTAAGAATATGATACACAATATTTAAAGAAAAGCGTGGACTCAGTTCAAATGTTATCAGATTTATAATAATTAAAAATGTTGACCCTTTGTGGGGAAGTATGAAAGGAAGTGAACCTTTATATCTCCACACTAGATCTAAATACGGGGATCTGCGAAATTTGAAGACAATAGGTGTGTCTGGTTACCCTAACATTTGTAACAATTGTTCCAAATTGTTACTGGAAGTCGTCTGTTAACCCGAAAGTTCTGCAAAAGAGAGCGGTTGGAGAGAGAAATTTTGACAGTTCTTTCAGTGAGAGTTTGCAAATTCTTGCTGGATAAATATCTTCTTGCAATCACTTGCAACTCTTCTCTTCTCATTCATCGACATTCAATCAGATGTTTTCTATTGTTTGTTTATTTATTTTTGTGCTTTCAATTTGAAAATATTTGTTTAGAATTAGCAAGACTAATAGTTTTTGGAGAAGAACTTTACAAAATGTGAAAAACGTAAATGTTAATATGTAATAAGAAAATAAAAGACTATCTCCAACATTTTTATTTAAAAAACTTGTAAAATTAGTATTGCTTCCTTTGTTTTAATTCTCCTTATGGGGGACAAATTGGTTTGTTTTGACAAATCAGCTGAGTCTGATCTGTTTACTTTTCACATTTTCCTTGCAAAAGAGTATAAAACTACCTTTTCTCTCAGAAGGAAGTTGCTGGACAATTCCTGCAGGAAAAGTAACCAGACACACCTAATAGGACTCTTACTTCACTTTTTATAAGAAATTGATTACTCAAAATTGTAACCATGTAACCAATTGTGAGGAAGGTAATAGAAGGAGGGTGCTGATATTACCCACCCCGGACTCGATCTAAGATTGATAATATTACGATGTACCAAGTTTAGACGAAATCAAATTCACCCTTCGTCAGTTATCTTGCGCTCTTGCCACGCAAACAGGCAGAAAGACGTTAAATCATCTTAGATTTCGTGTGCGGGGCCGACCATGTGATACCCTACAACACTACAACACGTTAGAAGCCCTCTTATGTCCTAATCCATTTTGGAAGATTTCGCGTTTGAAACTATGTCACGGAGCACTACGCAGATATTACCCTTAGCATTTTGAACAGGGACATTATCCCAATATTTACGAACTATGTCGTGTTGTTAGTTGTTGTGCAAAAATGCTAAAATTCTTCCCTGTCCTTATCGCTCTTCCCAGGCATGTCGAATGGCTCCAATTGTGTATCAGGATTTTTTTTTCATTTTTTGGTTCATTTGAACCATCTCCAAATCAAGAGGCCCCTCTGAATCTCCAAATTTGGACTCATCTATATGATTTGTCTACGTTATTTGGCTATCGTCGGATATCGCCTGTAAGTAATGCTGGTATTTTTTATACAAAGTAGTGGTCCATTCTACCCAGAGTTCTAACTCTAACTTCATGCGAGATTTTGTATCCTTTGGTTTCTATTTGTATTATAACGGCTGCAAAATCAGGAACATTTTTGTTAGTCAATTTCAACCCCTAAATATATTGCGGACATCTTTGAAAACAATAGGCCTTGCCATTCTGAGTCTAACCCTACCCTTTTCGTGAGGATCGGACGATAATTGCAATATATATACAATATCCCCAACCTGTGTTATAAGTTGAAAAACTATTACAAAATATACACTTTAATATTATAAGTCACATTGAAAAAATCGCATGCGATAAAAAATATGAAAAATGTGAAATGAATGTCACAAAATACTAAAAAAATCTATATTAACATCATTATAGGCGCCTTTTTATGCGTTTTTTTAGATTTTGTCCTTTTATGCCATGAGCGCATTCTGCATTGACAAAATTTGTCAAAATCGGTCCAGCCATTCTTGAGGTAAAAGCATTTTAACTAACATCCCCTTCCTTTGTACATATACATTGTATATATTTCGCTATATACATCCAAAATATTTACTATCGGCATCTACGTAACGCTCAGGATTGACCTGTTCGTCTGTTTGTGATTTCGCCGGGATTAAAACTATTCGCGGTTTAATGGAAAATTTGATTTTATTTAACTCAAATGACATAACCTTTTTCACCCACTAAATATTACCCGATGACCATCAAAATTGGAAAGCTTCTGCCCAGCCCTAAGCTCTAGCCCCATGCTAACTTTCGCGTTGATGGGTCTATAATTGCGACCTGTAGAGCAACTGCAAAATCAGGATTTTTTTCAGTTTTTGGTCCATTTAAACCCCTAAATATTATGCGATCATCTCCAAAAGAAATAGGGTTCTATTCTGACCCTATCCCCACCTTCATTCTAAATTTCGTGAAGATCGGATCATAATTGCGACCTGTAGAGTGATTACAAATTAACATGGACAGACGGACGGACGGACATACATAGCTAAATCGACTCAGCTCGGCGATATAGGAAGATCCATATATACTTTCCTATGTGGGAAACCAATATTTCGAGGTGTTACATAATTTTTGGCCCAATCAAACTTATAATACCCCCAACACATAGTGTGGTAGGGTATAAATATTATTCAAATATTATTTGTAAGACATTTATTTTTTCATCTTGTCACACAATATGTGTTATTATTTTATAAAATGAAATACTCTTTCTACGTAGCCAGTCTTCGAGAGAGCTTTAATTTTTTTTCTTTGGCGTGTGTCCATCGCCACTACGCGAACCCAAATTTTTCTTATATTTGTTCAGACTGCCTGCACTCGGTCCTTAAGATTCAGCAATAGTCAACCCTTAGGAATAAAAAAAGTTATTTGGGAATTTCCGGAACCCCATGTCTCAGGAAGTACGGGTTTCTCTAAGAAAATATTCTGTTGTTTTAATCAGGATAAAAAGACTTACATTCGATGAAAATTCCTCATTCAAAAACATAATTGAATCCCTCGTGGAAAACACCATGAACATTTGGTAAAAATGGCAGGATGTTCACTTTGCATTAAATCTGATACACTCTTGCAGAGTTATGGTGCCCACCACACAGATCAAAAAGATGAATTGAGGACAGGATAGATGGATTAAAAATGAACTGAAACATTTATTTCTATTAGGACATTTTGGGCGAATGCATTTATATATACCCTTCGAAGTCGTAAGGCTAAGGACATTTGCCATTTATTTCCTTCGTAACAATAAAATGGCATTGACACAATTTTAATTCTTGAAAACTTGGCCACACAGCATGCAGGTCTCCAATTTCAGTTGAATCAAAATTGATTCATTTAATTTATTTCACACAATTCAATATCAATAAGCCAACATAGCCAAAATCGTATGCAAGCCACACACGTTACAACTGGTTGTGCAACTGGGAGAGGTTGTATTCAAGATTGTATCGTTTCTGGCCCTTTTGTACGAAGTTGTGTCTCGGTTGTATGAAAAATCAAATTTTTTTGATATTTGGCATGTTGTACCAACCGATTGTAACGTTTGTGGGCATGTCGCATACAATTTCATTTTGTTTTTATTTTTAAAGAGGCAACATCATTGTTTCGCACATCCAAACAATACGAAATCCAATCAAATGTGTGATTTTAATGTATATATAAAATGGAATTACAAAAATTAATTATAAATAAAAGCTATTGAGTCAATTATAGAGAATGCATTTTTTCCGGTGTCATCTTAACTCAAATAAGCTCTACGAAAAGTGAAGTTGTACAAAGAAATTGTACACTAAGTTGTTGCTAGGAACACAATTGGAGCGAACGACGAATTTTTTCGCGGCGTATGTTCGTCGTCAAAAATAAAACACATATGTGTATATGGAAGTGCACACCAAGGTAGATGTACTAGGTAATCGCATCAGCCCAGCTGACGGCACCATTAAATGTCAAAACAAATTGTTGTAATGATGAATTCGCCCTAAATAAATGCAACAACAAATTTGTTTATGTTTTCTTCCCTAAATAATTTAATAATTAATTTAAGAGCAAGTTTAGAGTGAAACCAGTAAAAAAATTAAAAGAAAATGAAAAAGTGCTCGATTTGCAATAAGAAATATTGTGATGGAAATTTAACACTATTTAATGTCCCTAAAGACGAAGGAAGGAGGTTAGAATGGAGTGCAGCTTGAGGAATTAAGTTAGCCCCAACATCTAAGATTTGTATGGACCATTTTAATCCAAAGCACATCACGGGAAGTAGTGCAAGAATTCGACTCCAATGAATTCTATCTAATTTTTTGCGATTCTGTTCCTGGATATTATGTTGTTGGCTATTGGCCAAATTATTGATATTTTGATATTCATATCCTGCTGTTGCTGCTATTGAATATGTGGTGAATGTATGGCCATATGCTTCGGAGTGTTGGTACCCTGATTTTGCATAGAACGATAGTGGTGCTGTTTTTTTTTTTTTTTCTTTAAAACCATTGAATATAAATTGCGACATTCGTTTATGACGAGAGGCACACAAAATAAAATGTAAACAAACACCTCGTTTCCGATTGGTTGAAACAAATTTGCCGCAACCTTTAAATGTCATGGCGAATCTATGTTTTTCGCCTTAGATGCCAATTTTGACATTTGAGGGGACCACAAAAGTTACTTTGTTGTAGCAATTCGCCGATGCGGTTACCTGTTAGATCTACCTTGGTGCACACAATCACGGCACCGGCGAAAATTTCGTCGGTCGCCGCGAACTCAATTAGCTTTATGTCTATTTCATACGCCGGCGACCGGCGAACAAAACAGTACAAGGTGGCCATACTTGTACGAATTTTATGTGTTTTAGTAAATAAAGTTACTTTTTACTTTAAAATTTGTTATGGTCACTCTACTATCTGTTACTCGTATAAAAAAAACATAATTAATTTGTTTATTTATTTGTGTACTTGCGCCTGAGTGAAGATGGATATCAGTGAATTTATAATAGAGAAGATGGACATAAGTGAAATTACAATAGAGAACGTAAAGAATTATGTGTTCTTGTATAATTCATTGTAGTCAACAAATGAGCAAAAAGTAAACAACTTCATCAGCTGTTTTATAATTTCGTCGGTATTGTGTTCCATACGACGAATTTTCGCGGCTCATTTTGTCGCCGCGTAGGGCGAAATTCGTCGTTCGCTCCAATTGTGTTCCTAGCATGTATCGTTTGTGACAGAAACACACAATTTGACTACTCTCCAAGTTGTACAACCAGTTGTATCGTGTGTGGCTTGCATGAATACAACATCGGGTAGATCATATTTAAATGCAACTTGTAATAACGAAGAACGATTTATTTGTCCGACAACATCATTTTTTATCTATCTGAAAGGTGTAATAAATCGTTTTTCATTATTACAAGTTTCATTGGAGTATGAACTGGCCGATAAGCAAAAGGTCAGACCATCTTCCTTTTATCTTTTAACGTAAAGTTTACTGTATTCTTAGTTGTGTTCCAGAACCTACAAATTAGTACTAATTAGTGCTAATTCTGCTAAAACGCGTTCCCGTACTCCAAAAACTAGCAAAACTTGCAGCTCTCTCGATAAAAAAAATGGCGCTGAGTGGTGCACATTTCTGCTTGTTTTAGCTACATGAATTTGGCAGAGCAGAAATGTGCAAATTGTAAATTTGACATTTAATTGGCAGGGCTAACAAGGTTGAAAAATGTTTCAACCTGATTAAGGAATCAGACGATGAAAACGTATTGGAAAACAGTGCAAAATTAGTGAAAGGTTAATTGAAAAATTAAGCTTAAAATCAATGATGTTCGCTTATTACTGAACATGTTCTTTTTATTTTTTAGGTTGGCTGTCTTCCCAACTTGTGGCATTTAGTCTTCTAGCAGACTTAACATTAATTAAACCGGCGGCTCCAACCATGTCAGCTTCTCCGGGGTTGGGATTTGAGAAAACTCCGCCTCTAAATATTCTTCAACGCATTCTGAAACAAAACTTTCTAAATAAACAGCATTCAAAAATAATTATTAATTTCAACTTATTTTCAATACTCATTTTTTTAAATTTTGGCGTCCATTTCAGTAAGGGTTCACCAGTCCGATTTAGACTGTTTCCTTTTGAAATTTTGAATGTTGACATTTTATCGCATTTCTGCTAATTTTCCGTTCCCTTATTTTTTGAGCACACCTAAATGAGAATGGCATTTTGTACTGTTCTCTCTTCTGCTACCTTTCGCTTATCGGAAAGTTCATACATAAATGAAACTTGTAATAACGAAAAACGATTAATATGTCCGACAACATCACTTTTTTTTCTATAGGCAAGATGTAATAACCGGCTTATGAGTCATATATAAAATGTAAATTATCACATACACACGGAAATACAGATGAATAATAAGAGTGACACACACATATGTGAATCCCATTTCGTCTGATAATTGGTCTGTTCCAGAACTGCAAGAATGTAAAAGTTTTTACTACGACAACCGATTTTCTCTTTATGTTATCGGAGAAAATTGCGAAACTAGTAGATTCTTGCAGATTCTGGAACAAACCAATTGTCTTAAGGTTAATTGATTATAATAAGGTTAATGATTATAATAATTGATAATGTTAAGGCACACAAGGTTAATCCTCTTGGGCCTGTTTCTATATCTTTCCTTTATAGTCCACTTTTGTTATCCCTTACTTTAGGAAAAGTGAAGTATAAAGTTCACATTATCGTGTTCTCATCATTACATCCATGGTACAATGAATTCAAGGTAGGGCAGAACTACCATATGATTTTAATTTTTTTATTTTTCTGGCTTAATATGTCAACTTCGTTTGTTTATGTGTGTGTATTCTTTTCAATAATAAAAAATTGTTCAGAAAATATTCAAATTCCGGTGTTTTCAAAATGCTTATTGCGACGTATGCATCGACAAAATCTACAGTTTTTGTCGCGAAATAAACCATGAGAGATATATAAAACATGATTTTGCAAAGAAATTTTGACTTTTCATTCAGTTTTCGCGGTTTTAAATTATGTACTCAAAATCAATGCAACAAGTTGTTTGCTTTTTTATTGTTTTGATAGTAATTCTGACATTACAAGCCAAACAGGTAGACCTCTATACTTGCAAATTTTTCAAAGTTGACCTACCTTCTCTTCATTGTAGCATGATTACATCTATCCTTTAAAATATATGATTTTTTTACAGAGATATGGCAAGCTTTTTTAAAAGTAACTGATATTCACTGCATTTTTTCACAATGAGGTCTTCATTTTAGTTTAAAAATAATAAACGAAATGCGGATTTGTAATCAATTTCGTGAAATAAATTTATAAATCAGTTCTGCAATATAAAATAAACGATTTGCGTTATCCATTTTTTCATTTAAGTGAATTTTGCTGTTGTTGCCACATTATCAATAAAAAATATGGCAACATGAATTCAATAAACTTTATGTTAAAAGGTAAAGGGAAGATTGTCTGACCTTTTGCTTATCGGACAGTTCATACTTAAATGAAACTTGTAATAACGAAAACGATTTATCGGCAAGATGTAATAACCGACCTTGATCTATGATTTATAGTATAAATGTTCTAGGAGCTTTCGCTGTTAGGTAACTCTGCTTTTTACTATGCCATGGTACGTGTCATGGCAGAAGAATACAGGTAGATGCATCAACGCTTGGGAGCATTGATATGTCAAAAATTTTTAAATGTTTTTTCAAATATAAGTAGATTTTTTTATGTTTTCTTATACTACGTCATTCGGAGGCTATTATAATTCGCGTTTTTCAACAATTTTTACAAATTTAAATAATTTTTCATTCGACATTTTCAATTCCAAAATTGGTTTGACAGTTCATTGTCCCAGCAGCTACCTATATTCTTCTACCATGGTACGTGTAAATTGACACATAAATGTATAGAATATCTAATGCATAAAAACGGATTTATAAAACCCTTGCTTAGTATTTTCAAGTGGCTGTATGTATTTATTTTTTGCACCAAAACACTGGATTAAGTATTATTGTTCAAATTATTTCATAAATATTACTCGTATGCGTTAAGCAACTCTGCTATATAAGTAATTTTACATATAACTTCCGCAAGAATTCGAACATGGATTTATATGAAGAGAAGGAAGAAATTATTAGCAGCGACGAATACAGCGAGGATGACGACGACGATGGCCTGATGAATGATGCTATTAGAGCACAGGGTTATAAAATTCCTGCACCCCATCATGATGACAAAAATGAAAGCCCAAAATGGCAAAATGACAAAAAACAGAAACAGCTTAGTTCGCTCATAAGGAGAAATAAAATATCAGTAATATATAAGAACAAATCTATTAAATGGTGGGTATCTATAAAATGGAATGTTTTCATAATTACAAGTTTAATTCTTAGGTTAAATAACAAAAAAAACCGGGAAAGATATAAATGCCACATTGCTAAAAATTGTATTGAAAACAAAAAAATTGATGCGGATGACATTGTATGCTTAGGAGGAGATGGTGAAATTTTTGGAAATCTTGCGAAAAATATTTCCATGGAAAATAAAATGCCAAAGCATACTCAGTTGGACACCAAAAATTTATCAGAAAAAAGCGCTGTCAATATAGATGTGTCCAATGAAGTTTCGGAAACAAAACATACTAATACTCAATCAAGCCAGGTAATTTCAATATATTTATACATCAATCACATATGCCATTAAAATGGCTCCGCGGAAATTATATATTTTCTGTATACGTAATTCTCGGATTTATATATTCATCATCAATAAATTTCATCTTACGCCGGGGACCCACCTGGTATTTCATTCGAAAGATTGGATAAAATAAACGGGTATTTCGCTGCCGAGATAAGATTTATCAATAGAAAAAATAACCTGAGAATTACAGGTTGGCTTACTCCCCTTTTGATAATCAGCCCATTATGTGTCACCATAGTCAATTAATTCCAAGTTTTCATTTTGAATGTTACTTAAGTTTAATTTTATGCCTTCGGTGTGCACCAAGTGCTTTACTATCCAATCTTCTTCTGACAGATTTTAAACTTTTTGTGACTGCAACAAAAATTATCAATGTTGAAAATGTTCAACCTTGAGATTTTGTACGTCCAACGTACTTGGGTAACTCTCGTTTAAATTGTGTGGTGAAAAACGTCGAATTTTAGGTAACGCTGTAATATGTATCCGGAATAAAGACAGACGTCACTTACAATGTTTCATTCAATAAGTTAGTCCATTATATTGAAGCTTCCGCTAAACTATATATGGTCATGTTTAACAAACAACAATTTTTCTAATTTCCATCTTCAAAAATTTTGGTTTTACAATATTCCAATATTCCAGAAATTCCATTTTTGCATCTATATGCTAAACAACCAAATTTTGCTTTGCAGTGTCTTAATTTTGAAACCCCGTTAACTGCGTTTCGCTTTCCTTCTTTTTGACAGTTGCATTGTATTAAGCATTTAGTCTCTATCATAACTCTTTCATGGCTTTTCGTATGTTTTCGGTTATGGATCGTAATTTGTCAATTAAATTTCATCTATGATTCGTTAGCATCTATACCCTTAGTTTATCTCTTGAAGTCGCGTAATTTTTGACCCTTCTCATCCTCACCCTCCTCCTGAATATGCGCATAACGGATTGCTTCTTGATTTTCCTGTTGTTGACAGACCTCTTTGCATGACTCTCATCACTGTTTGTAACAGAATCTGAAAGTTCCTCACAATCTGTAATGTACCTTGTTTCAAATTGTTTCTAATGTGAGACCACTGGTCGATCTCATGGCAACCTTTTTTTTGGAATCATCCAAGAAAAACAATCTCATTATTTTGGCGATTCATTCTGGGACATGTCAACAGCATACTACATCCAGAACCGAGTGTCAACTCGGAAACTTTGATAAATTAGCGTCTATAATCTACCCATTTCCACGAGTGCGACTTTTCCTTTTAGCATCAACATTTTTCTGTAGAGAGTAAAGTGTGGTAAGTTAAAGTTTAATACTTTTCGATTTTTCTATATATTCACCACATTTACCTTAAGGTTTCTGCCAAAAAGTGTATTGCAAAACTTGCCTTCCACTTCAGATTCACTTCAGCAATCGGATCACTCTAAAACTGAAGAAGTCGTCTATAAAAAGTAGTCATTTTTTCCAATCCCTCAAAGAGGTGGATGATCGCCGAGAATGGTATTCACTCTGCATTCTGCTCATAACACCCAATCAGGTATTACATTGACTGCATTTTCCTCAGGTAGATTATCAACGGGAGTCATAAGGAAGCACCCTGTTGCGGTTCTTGTTGTTGTTGTTCTGGCAGGATTGAATGTTTTTCCATTGAGTAACCCTTACATTGGCGGACCACACCGGAGTCGCACAGACCGGTTCATCGTGTTAAAAGAGGTCAACAAGGTCCCTTTATCAGATCCCCAAGTGCTGCTCAATGTCCTCAAACAGTGTGACGAGATTAACAATATCAAAAGCTTTTGACACATTTAGCGGAACCCTAACTGTTCTGTCGCCTGTTCTGGCTGAGTCCGCAGCTAATATCCGGAATCCGCGTTGATGGTCAACTAGAATTCGTAACCCCTGTCACTGTCGTGGGTAATTGTCTGTTAGAAATAACTCCCGCGTCTCCGGATATGTCACTTCGTTAAATAATCATCCTATTTGATCGGGATCGAGAGCGACTTAACCGTCAAGTTACTTGATCTGGTTCTGATGTTGCAATGCTTCAGATTTCTATCCACTTTTTACGATAATGCTCGCAAATTAACCTTGTTACCTCCAGCATTAGTTCCCCGACTCTTGGACTATTAGGGTTAGTGCGACGAAGCCTATCTAGCTCATTTGCTTCTGCTGAGAAATTTGGTCTTCTTTCAGTTATTCGACAAGCAGCTGCAGCTTTGATGATATCCCGGAAACACCTATCTGCTCTCTGCTATCAGATGGATTGGTCAGTTCCCTGAAGCGGCGATTGGTATATTCAATGAATTCTTACCAAATGGCTTTCTAATGATTAAGGAAAGTATCATGGAAAGAGTCATGCAGTCGGGCGGTCTGTTTATGGCGACAATAATAGTGAGGCGGTCTAAGCCCGAATAAACACTTCACAGGTTTTTGTAAAATTGTCACTCACTTATCTGCGCAGGACCTCTTAAAAGACAGGAGCTACTTTCAAGTGTTAATCTGTAGATAAGCGACCTTCAGGGAGTCTTTCACAAATGGAGGATCTACAAAAAGTATCCATACAGATGGAGGGCCTTCGAAAGGTATTCTTCTTTCGAGAGGCCTTTTAGATACAGGACTTCCAAGGGCCCTTTAAAAGGAAACCACCTCTGTATATATAGGAATATGCCCGGGGAAATCAGTTTGCTTGGCTAGCACCAAGTCCCTCTGGTCATTTCCTAGGACGGAATGCTATAATTCATGTAATTTCCTATCAGAAGTCAAATGAGGTTGCGCATATAATGCTGGACCCAACTATTTAATGGTAGCATCTTCATACAATCCGTGTATTGGATACTAGAGTTAGGCTCAGGGAGATAGGTCTGTACTGGACAGCGTTTTATAATAGGAACGCTCACCCTCCACCTCTGGTGCGATCCTTCCTCAATACGTTATATCCACACTGGTTGGGGGCGTGCAGAGAACTACCCTCCGTTGGATAATCAACTATATTTGTGGACGCCAGTCGTACGTGGAATTCCCAAACAAGAAGTCAAAAGCCCGTAGAGTGAAACTGGAAGTTCTCAAAGGTGGGGTGATGTCTCCGGAACTGTTTAACCTCTACCTTTCCGGAATTCCTCACCCTCCTGACGGCATAGAGATCGTAACGTATGCTGATGATTGTACGATTATGGCGTGGGGTCCAGTGGTAGATGACATATGTGAAAGGTTGTTGTCGTCGTCTCAAAATTAAGTCAAGGCGACAATAACGGTATGAGTGTTGTATTTTTTTTGTCGATACCCATGAATGATTGCTATTATCATTGTCAACAACAACAACAGTCGATGTGAAGTCGATTTTTGAATATATCTGTCGCCGTACAAAATTGTGATGACAAAACTTTTAATCGACCTTGATATTGAGCCCATTTTGTATTTGATATTTCACTATGAAAATAACAACAGCAAAACAATTAGAGTACCCATGTTTTTTTTATTTAATGATTTCGTCTCTGATTTCATTGCTTGTATCCATTTGAATCTCTCAGCACTTTAAACAGCTGGAGGTTCTGTTTGGTTAACGGAATTCATGTGACATCATTACAAACTCATCGCTGATGTAATTAATTATTATAACTGTTTCTTAACCGTTTTGTATTGTTATTACAGTAAACGTTTGACTTACCCCGCGTTGCGCAATAATTTTCTTCACTTCTACATTGTTAGATTCACCTCCATTACAACTGAGCAATTTTTTAACGGTGTGTTCTTGGCATCTGGAATGTGCAAGCATCTCACGTGGCCACCACGGAATGTTGAGTAATCATCTATGTACCGGATTGACTCGGAGGTACAAATCTTCGACTAGGGGCCGCCAACCCAGCAAATACATGTCCGTGTTCGTCCATTTTTCTGATGTGGGAGCAACATTACCACGAATGTTTACTCCTCATTCTCTTGGTCCGAGCCAGGATCGAGACCAACCCCGGACCATGGTTCTACTCCGTTTGTCGTAATCGCATCCACCACAGATCGGTGAGATGCAAAGGATGCATGGATTGGGTGCATTTAAAATCGGATACAGGACTACAATGCTTCCTGCTGCGTCAATGTAGACCCCAGTGAGTCTTCATCTTCGGCATCCTCATCGTCGTCGCAGTATGAGACTCCCCCGTAATCTCCTCAACAGCAATTTATGCAGCAGATGACGCCACACATTGCTATTCAATTTCCGGAAAATGCGTCACTTCTCCAGTTCAATTGTGATGGTCTCCGAGGTAAGATTAACAAAATCGTAAGCTTCATGAGTCGGAAGAACATCAAGGTCGCAGCGATCCAGGAAACGAAGCTGAGTACCACCTGCAGGCTTCATAGTTGTGATGGATACAACGTACTGAGGAAGGATCGCTCCAGGGATGGAGGATTTGCGTTCCTATTGCATTACTCTGTCCAGTACAGACCTATCTCGCATGAGCTTGACTTCAGTGACCCGTACATGGAATGTATGGGGGTAGCGGTCAAGTGTGAAACCACCGAGGTAGAGTTGCTCAACAACATATCAACATATCATTTCACTTCTGGTAGGCAATAATCGTCTGGTGCTAGGGGTTTTCTATGCCCATCATGAATTATGGCATTCCGTCCTAGGTAATGACCAGAGAGGCATGGCACTGGCTGAGCAAATTGATAGCTCTACATTTTGCACAGTGGCCGATATCACTCCTCCTCCATATTTCTTTCTAATATTCGGAGATATCACTCCTCCCCAGCATAAGAGAGTGTTTCCCAGTAGCTGATCATCAACATGGATTCCGAAAATTGCATAGCACAACAACAGCTTTAAATGCCATTTCCACACATGTCAGCCGAGGTTTCAACCAGAACAGGCCAATCCCACGGCAGCGGGTTCTACGACACCGGATTGACCCGAAACAACAACACTCCAGTTTCGGCCAGCGGCTGCCAACCCAGTGTATACATGTTCGTGTTTGTT